AACAAACTACTGTAGATTCTGTGATCAAATTCCAGGAAGAGAAGTACAACTCATTTCTTCCTGTTGTTAATTAAATAGTGCTGTGTGTTATATAAAATGCTGAGTTGTCAATAGCAAGAACTGCATCACAGTGTTGATCATAACATTGCTAAAAACATTTAAGCAAAGAAAGAGCTGAAATAAGTGAATAAACATAATTTTCTGGGAAATTTAAAGGAGAGTCAGTTCAGATCCCCTGCCTACTGTATAATAAATATTTTCATTAATGTTTTGGATGAAAAAAATGGAAGGATAATTATTAACATCGCAATATTAGGTGGAGTAGCTACAAGGCAGAAAATAATATTCAGAAATGTCTGTATAAGTCGGAGAAATAGGTATAAAGAATCACAATGAAATTTGAGGGAAAGTGCGAGAGTTATTCGCTTAAGACATTACAATCAACTGCACATATATACCGTACCTAGCTTGGTATAGTACTTGTGATAAAAGTATGATATGACTGCAGAGAAAGAACAAGCAGATCTAAGGTGCACCAAATCAAATCTACTTTGGAGACCATGAGAAGAAATTATCCTATTTAATTCTGCTTTGGTTGGCTCTGACTTGGGAATTGAGTCTCCCATTGTTTCTGCCCATTCAGTGCATTTACGTAGAGAAGGGTGCACTCCAGGTCTGCTTAATTAAAGTCATTCTGTTGGACCAAGGAACCATGGCTTATCTGTCATTGCTCTGGCCCTCTGGAATAGCACCCAGATCCCAAAGGTACGCATGGCTCCCACTCTTCAATGTTCTGGAAGTCTCTTAAAACGTGGCCTTATTCCCAGGCCTGGGGTTAGAGTGGCTGTGGTAGAACCCCTGTTGAATCTTAAATGCTGAGAGTGCTGTTTTTGTCTCTGCAACCTTCTGGTTTTAGCTGTGTTGTAATTTATGCATTGGAAATATTGCAAGGAGTCTTTTTGGTGTTGGGCAGCCTTAGCAAATCTAATAAACAAATAAATACCCTGTTTCCCCTAAAGTAAGACCTCCTCGGATAATAAGCCCAATCGGGCTTTGAGCACATGCGCTAAAATAAGGGCCCCCCTGAAAATAAGCCCTCCCGAAAATATTAAATCACATGTGCAGCCGGTCCCCGCCATTTCCTCTGGTTAGGGTTAGGGAGACAGCTGGAAATCAGGTAAGACGGCAAGAAGAGCCCCGTCTTGCTCCACGTGCCCCCAAATAATAAGACCTCCCCGAAAATAAGGTCAAGTGCTTATTTCGGGGTTCAAAAAAATATAAGACAGGGTCTTATTTTTGGGGAAACACGGTAGTTGTGTGTGACCATAAATAATATGAAGAGGAAGGATTTGTTTTCTCACTGTAAGAATTTCAGCACTGAATGTATTCAAGATGGCAGAGTTGCAGCATAATGAAAGACAAATACAGTCCTTACAGTTTTATGTTTTTGTGGAGTCTAGAACATGTGCTCAACCGCTAACAAGAACCGCAAAGAGATCCAGAGTCAGCAGAAGAAAATTATTCTTCTTTTTCTACCCAGCCTGCAGTTAAATTGTGAAATTCCTTACCAGAGTTATAGTAAGGGCAATCACTTTAGATTGAGGTTAAAAGGAGACCGAATACCGTACTTTCCTGGAGCTTCAGATTATCAGTGGTTGCTGTATTAATGACTGCTTACTGTAGATGCCATTTGGCTGCTGACAAGCGATAGTGGAAAGGAGTTACCACCCTCCAGTGAGTTTCCCAAATGCATTCAATTAACCTCATGTGACACAAAATGTTATACCAGATGCCCAATATATTTTGTTCTTATCTAAACAATGTTCCATCTGTTTGCTGTATTGAGCAAAAAAAAAAAAAAGGATTGTTGAGATTGGTTACACCTTTGTGCAGCAATCATCTTCAATGTGGTGTTTTCCAGATATATTGGAGTTTGGCCATGCTGGCTGGGTGTTAACATTTGTAGCCTGGTATAGCTAAAAGGCTTCAACATAGAGACTGTTTTACAGTTTTGATCAGTTTCCCTAAAAAGGGAGATTTTGAATAGTTCTAAATGATATAAGAGAGGGCAAGCAGAACGATCAGAGCCTAGAACAGTGATGGCGAACTTTTTCGGTACCGAGTGCTGAAAAGGGAGCATGTGTGCGGCACCAAGTCCCAAAAAGGGAGCACTTTAAATGTGCACACTTGTCAGGGCCATGACCAGGAAGAGGAGCTGCCCAGGGGGCATGCGGCAAGCAAATCTTCCGATTACTGCCGCGCATGTGCACATACTGATCCTTTGGCCGGTGTGCATGCTCATGCCAGAAAACAGAAAACCAGCTCTTCTGGTTTCCGGCACTGCTGCACACACTGCTGCAGCTGATCGTCACGTGCGCATGCACGCCACAAACCCATAAGAGGAACGGGCGATGCCGTGCATGCCAGGTGACATGGCTTCGCATGCCACTTCGGGCACGCGTGCCATAGTTTCGCCATCACGGGCCTAGAACAACTCCTGTACAGTATGAAGAAAGATCTTTACTGGGGGAAAAAAAAGTAACAGCTAACACAATTCTGAAAAAGGGTGCAAAATTTGAAATGAATAAGCAGATGTTTTTCTCTATTTCATGACACCAGAATGCAGAGTTATTCAAAGGAACAGAATTGGTGGGGGTTCTAGACAAAATCAAGTATTTCATCTATTATTTAGTTCATGGGATTTGCTATCAAAATATGTTGTGGTAGTCTTCCTTTCAAAGATTAGGAGATTACAGGTAATCCTTGAATTATGATCATAATGGAGCCTGCCCATTAGGGTAATAAGTCGTGGGTCATCATGTAATCAACCTGATTCTATAACTTTTTTTGCAGTGATCGTGACTTAGTGGTCATTAAGTGAATCCACAGTTGTTAAGTAAATGCCATGGTCGTTAAGTGAACTCATTTTTCACTATGGGGCGATTTTGCAAAAGCCAGAAGTAAATGCCGATTTTCAGTGGAAATGTCTTAAACTGCAGCCATGTGATTGCAGGATCCTGCAAAGGGCCATAAATGCAGGCTGGTTGCCAAGCACTTGAACTGCATCATGTGACCGGGCGGGGGGGGGGCTGTGTGCGGTCATCGGAACTTCAGAACTGATTCGTAAATACCGTTTTGGCAGGGGTGTGTGTGTCTGTCCGAACTTCAAATGGTCACTAAGCAACTGGTTGTAAGCCAAGTACAAGGGAGGCGAGGGAGTCAAGCTACTCTCCAAAGAACCTGAGGGCAGGACAAGAAGCAATGGGTAGAAACTAATCAAGGAGAGAAGCAACCTAGAATTAAGGAGAAATTTCCTGACAGTTAGAACAACTTGCCTCCAGAAGTGGAACAACTTGCCTCCAGAAGTTGTGAATGCTCCAACGCTGGAAGTTTTTAAGAAGAGATTGGATAAACATTTGTCTGAAATGGTGTAGGGTTTCCTGCCTAAGCAGGGGGTTGGCCTAGAAGACCTCCAAGGTCCCTTCCAACTTCGTTATTCCTATTCTATTCTAATATAATATAATCTAGCACTTTTTTTTAGTTTTTATTGTAAGCCTCCCAGAGTTGCTGTATCACTGAGATGGGTGCATAGAAATTTAATAAATAAATAATACCTGTAGTTAAATAGTAATAGTAATATATTATAGTAAATAGTAATATATTAACTTCGGTATCTTTATCATTATGAATATCAGGATTCTATTTCATTCCTGGAATGCATGGGGGTTTCCCTTTGGCATCTAATCACCATTGTGGGAAACTTTGGAATAGATAGATCTGTGGCTTGATCCAGCATAACCTTCCTTGGGTTTCTACCTTTGTTTAAAACAAAGTTTATTGTCATTATATCCTGTATAGAGCAAAAGCAAAAACAAGATTTCCACCATTATGTTCTATGAAAACTCCAGAGAGGCCTTCTGTATTCCAGAGCATATACATGTCTAGTAACTTGTAGCTAAAGATGTAAATAGATATTTGGCAGACTTTCTTGTTTGCTTTGTTGTCTGAACATTTTGTTGTCTGTACATTTTGAAAATGGGTTCTTTCTGTTGACACAACAAAGTCCAAATGGTACACAGTTAAAGCCAATGACCTCCCTAGGAAGAATTGCTTTCTGTAAACCACCTTGTAGTTCGATTGTTTGCATAAAGAGTTCACTCTCTTCTGCTGCCTAATGATGAACTGGCCTCTGAGTAAGTTGAAGGTAAGAAAGAATGTTGACCCTTTAAACAGAAATCTATTTATGATGGTTGAGGTTTTGTAGAGTTTAATCAGAAAAAGGTATGATGTAATACATTTATTAATCTTCAAATGTCTTAAGATACTGCTATCTTTGGTCTTAACATTTATATTGTATTTTTAAATTTCTGCTAGGAACGTAGAGTTGCATTCATGAAATAGGTGGCCAGATACAATGATTTAAATAAGTAAATACCCTGTTTCCCCCAAAATAAGACATCACTTGATAATAAGCCCAATTGGCCTTTTGAGCACATGGCAATAAGACCAAGTGCATTTCCAGGGTTCAAAAAAATATAAGATAGGGTCTTATTTTTGGGGAAACACGGTAAGAATTTGGCTAACAACCAAATTCTTCTTTGCAGATATGTACATTTTCATGAAAGTTAAGAATTTGATTAACAACCATGGCTATAAATAATGTCTTGCATGCAGATATGTACATATTCATGAAAGTTGCTATTGAGCACCTACCTAGGAGATGACCTACATGATGATCTTGCAGGGCCCGAGGGAGGGGTCAAACATGTCATCAGTCTCAAGTCCCTTCATGCCCGCAAGAGATCCAAGTCTAGCCCACCTTGAATTCGGTTGACTCTTATCTACCACCAATTTGTTTTGACCATTAGTAGTTCATATTCTTGTAGATAGCATTAGCATGCAATAAATCTATGCTCACTTGTACTGCCTGGACTCCTAATATCCTGTGCTTGACACCTATTCTTATCATATTTTTTGGTGTTTTTTTTCTTCTTCTCCAGAAAAGGAGCTGCCTAGGAAAGTTGTCTGGGTGACTGGTGCCTCCAGTGGAATTGGAGAAGAATTGGCCTACCAGCTGGCCAAGATTGGCTCATGGCTTGTGTTGTCAGCAAGAAGAGAAAATGAATTGGAAAGGGTGAAAAAGAAGTGCCTTGGTAGGGGCGATTGATTCTAGAAGTTTGTGTATGCGTTTTTTCCTTAACTAGGTTGCAAGAATTGCAAATAAAATTACAGAACAAAAATTAGTGTGCCCTTTTTGGCATATTTATAAAGAGCTGTTCTAATTCCAGTTAGGTTTTTGCAGCATCTGTCTGACCTTGCCTGGTTAATAAACTGGTCTAGTATTGAGTTGGGATGCTACCCAAAAACCAAGGCAGTAAGAAAGAAAATAAGAAATATTCTGGAAGGAAGCAACAGCAAACCATTTTGATACTGGTGCTAATTAAACTTGGCAATTATAGGAGGTATCATGCTGACAGGATTACAAAAAACTGAATTATCCATGGACAGCTAATTGTCAATAAGATTATTTTGTCATCCTGATATTGTTTGTGCCTTGGGCTGGTTGAGCTAGGCTGCAGTTGCATAGGTTTCCTATAGCCTATCCAGGTTTCCTTCCCTTTCTTGATATATATAGTGGAGCAGAGAGGAAAGTTTTGGTGTTTTGCAAGGCTTTCTTGCAAAACTAATGTTGCACATTACCTTTGCTAATCTCCAGAAAGACGCCAGATTAATTATCTTTGTTTGATTTATGGCAGGTGATTTAATCATTAACAGATGCCATCATATGTAATCCATGACTTGAATTCTAATGTTGCTGATAACCTAATAATTCAAAGGAGTATACAAATAATAAACCAAGGGAATGACCTGGATACTTTTCCTATATTAGATTTACCAAAGAACTTGTGAGAATACTTTTTGGTTTTTTCTAACCCAATGTGCCCATGTGATAACTCTCGGAAAAGTGAGCAAACTGTGTAAGGAGAAACTCAGTTCAGTTCCAAAAATGGGATGGATCTGGCTATGGAGGAAAACCCCCCAAATCCTCTGATCATCCATAAAGGAGAAATGAGCACACAGCAGCTCTGCACGATATTTCCATTCTAAGACACACACACCCCTCTCTCCTCTCTCCCAGGCATATGCCTCAGAGTGGATTTGTATATTCCCACCCTATGCTTCTCATGCATGCATACACACAGACACAGCTCACTGCCAGTAAAGAATTACTGAAATCCAGTTCTGCCTGCTTTCCTTACCTTGCTTAAATTACAATATGAAGAGAAACTCCCCTTACTGTTATATTCTGCTCATAGATAAGCGGGGGCTATATAAAAGCCTGGATGAAGCTGTGCAGAAAAGGGACATTTCCCCAACCTCATGCCCTTCAGACATGTTGAACTGCAGTTGTTCCTATCCTCGGCTCACAAGACCTTTGTTGGGAAATAGGCTGAGAAAAGCAGCTCCAGAAATTATATTTGCCTTCTGAATACTTTTTTTAAGGGGCCTGGCCAAGAGCCAAAAATGATCACATACCCATATTCTCTCTCAGATGCCATCTTTTCTGTTTTCTGACATCAGACAGTTCCTCCCAAGTAGCAGGGAAGGGACAAACCCCTTGTTGTGTTTCAGAATCCATTTCTGCAAAGTAGTTTTAAAAATAGGCCAAGGGTCACAGGCAATCAATCTGAGCAATGCAGGTTTCTCAATCCTGATTTAACAAGCATCATGTTCTGAAGGGCTGAAACGTATATTTGAATTAAACCCCAGAGGGCCCCAGTAACAATATGTACTATGCTAACTTGGCATATTAGTTAGGGGGAAAGAATTATAGTAACAAAAAGGTACAAATTGTCAAGGGCATGATTTCCAAGTTGCAACATAAGGCTGTGAAAGCTGCACTTTTAAACTATGATGCTGGAGAAAACTTATTTATTAAAGAAATGTATATAACCGTCCAACTCACATATAGGTGACTCCATGAAGGTTACAATTTTTTTAAAAAATCCATCATATAATAACTGTCTCCATCATCCATGGTAGCAACAATATAATCAAATCTGCCGCTTGATTGGCTTTGTCTCTATTTGTGGTCTCCAGGTTCTCTTACAAAGCCATGCTTTTAGGGCCTTTTGGAAAAGCAACAGAGTGGGAGCCAACCATAGCTCAAAGACGGGTGAGAATATCTTGAGTTGCAAAAAGTACAAATCATGCAATACCAAAGAGGTGTTCGCTGGGAACACAAATATTGAAACCTGAGCTTAAATATTGGGGGCGCTAGTCATTGGAGAGACTGTTCAGATAGATAGAATAAAATTGGAAAACAGCCAATAAAAAATAAGTGGAAGTACAGTCACGAATGACAAACTTAAAAGAATTCCAAAGAAGCACTTACTGGCCAAATGATGCCCATCAGATCGTGAAGGTTCAGAAGTGTGTGGAAAATTGGAACATCAAAGGGGAGGGAGGAGAAGAGAACTTTGGGTGCCCTTTTCTGCATGTTGAGTTGTGTTTATGGGGTGAGATCAGGGGTGGGTTCTACTTACCTTTACTACCGGTTTGCATCGGGCCTGCTCTTCTGCGCATGCACAGAAGCTTCTGCACATGCACAGATCACCTATGCTGAAGTCCGGGTCAGTGGGCGGAGCCTCCCGCCGGTTTTACTACCAGTTCTTGCGAACTGGTCCGAACCAGGGGCAACCCATCACTGGCTGGGATGGAGGGAAGATCCATTGTTTGTTCAAGACATTTTGTTTTTATCATTTTCCCTTTAGAGATCAGCAGCCTAAGTGATAAAGATATCCTGATTTTGCCACTTGATTTGACTGACAGGGGATTCCATGAATCTGCCACAAAGACAGTCCTTCAGCATTTTGGGAGGGTAAGTTTCATTTTTTGAGGGGGAGAGGGAGACAGAGAGGGGGTTGTGATTCAATGTAGCCAAGAGGGAGCATGAAAATGCAGATATATGTAAGAAGCCCTATAATATATCCCAGACAATGATGTTGAAAGCACATAATGAGCTGGTGCTTCAGAAATTCAAACAGAGACAGTTATTTGAGGTCTAGCTGCGTTCTGAATCCATAGCCACTTTTTTTTTTTATTTGATTTATATGCCGCCCTTCTCTGGAGACTCAGGGCGGCTTACAATGCGTTAAGCAATAGCCTTCATACTTTTGTATATTTTATACAAAGTCAGCTTATTGCCCCCACAATCTGGGTCCTCATTTTACCTACCTTAGAAAGGATGGAAGGCTGAGTCAACCTTGAGCCTGGTGAGATTTGAACTTGCAGTAATTGCAGGCAGCTGATGTTAATAACAGCACTGTTAACAACAGTGCCTTAGTCTGCTGCGCCACCAGACTCTGGGCCACTTCAGTTCTTGATGCTGACAAGAAGCCATAGTATAACCAATTTCTCCTTCATTTCCTTTCTTACAAAAGATTGATGTTTTGGTGAACAACGGTGGACGTTCTCAGCGTTCTCTTTTCGTAGATACAAGTATTAGTGTTTATAACGCTATAATGGAACTCAACTATCTGGGCACTGTCTCCTTAACTAAATTTGTCCTGGACCACATGATCCAAAGGAAACAGGGAAAGATTGTCACGATGAGCAGCGTCATGGGAGTCATGGGAGCTCCCTTAGCAACTGGGTATTGTGCCAGCAAACATGCTTTGCAAGTAAGTCTCTTTTCCAGCTGCTTTGGTCAAGTGAGGTTTCCAAAATGTGTTGGGAGTTCAGCTCTCAGAAATCCCCCAACTAGCATTCGTGAAACTGCAATTCCATGATATTTGCAGGATGCCAGGAAGGCAGGCTATGTTTTACGATTATGTAGAGAACTTGTTGATGTTTGAAAGGCCCTGTACTAATATTAAGGCTTGCTAGGCCACAAAGATTTGGCTAAGAAAGAGACCCCAGCATTTATTCTGCTTCCCCTGGACTTCGTTGCATTTATATCTGGGCAGTTCATATTAGTCCTATGGGCTAATCGACAACAATAAAGTATTTCACCTTGAGCAATATATCTGGTCAGTTGCTCATATTATGAAATTCAAATACATGCCAAAGGTGGTGACATTTGTTTATTTTTCTATATGTCTGATCTGTCCCGATCTGATCCCTTAGGAAATAAAAACCTTTGACTCCATTTAGTTAAAGCAAAGGGTTCCTTTACTAAGGGTGTTAGTTGCAGTAAAGTCATGCCAGCTCTAAAATTACCGCACTCGCTGGATGCAAAAATAAGGTGTAGGTTTGCCCCCCAGCCCATCCCTGCCCCTGTGACCAGTCTGTTTCCAGCCAACCAGAGCTCACCAAGATGTTTTGAGAACTCTGGGGTGTGTGTGTAATCTACATTTTTCTCAGGGTGCCTGGCTGTGGGATGCTGGTACAAACAGGATGCGGCTGCTCTGGTCCTTCTCACCAGTCATTCCCCCTCTAGATTTCCTATCATGTATACACAAAGCTTTATTACCCTTTCATCCTCCCCCTCTTCTTTTTATGGTAGAATGCCTGTGAGGCCCCCAAGCCCAGCGAGACAGATGTGATAGCATAACTTTGTAGTCTGTGGATATCTGTGTCAGAAATCCAGTAAAGATACTACACATATTTTAAAAATGCTGGGTTGAGTAGGTTGAAGTACTAAATACAAAGTACTAAACAACCGTTGTTTCCCTCTCAATTAAATTTGACCAGAATTCAGTGACTATAATAATGTGGGTTTCTGTAATAATTAGCAACAGGTGGTTCCTGAATGCAGTTGCTATATCTGAGTTGCAACTGGGTTGAATGACTATGACATACCAGCAAAGAAATATAGAAAATTGTCTTTGTTTTGCTAGTGGATACTTGGATTTTTGTAGGTTAATTATGGCAACCCTACATCAAATCTGGGTCCCGCAGTACAACCAGTACACTTATTTTTTTTCTAGCTTGGGTGATATTGGTACTTGGTATCAAGATCCACAGCATGGGGTTCAGAAAAGTACATGTTTTTTTTTACATGTGTAGATCAGTTTTAGCACAGTCATTACCCAGCAAATAAAATAGGCAAAGTAAGAAAAATGGAAAAGCCAAATAGGTAAAACAGAGATAAGCTTCTATAACAAATCCATTTCAAATGGTATTATGGATCCCTTACTGAAACCTTGAAATTAGATAACAAAAATCTTACAACATTGTAGGTTGTGTTTATAATTGCATCTATATGCATTTAAAATCTTTGAGGCACATGATAGTTTACTCTGTTCATGATTATGGTGGTTCTAATAAAATTACTGCTTTTCTTTCTTAGGGTTTCTTTAACTCTCTTCGGCCTGAGCTTGTTGATTATCCTGAGATAAGTATAATCAATATCTGTCCAGGGCCTGTCCAGTCACAGATCATCCAAAATGTCTTTACTGAAGAAATTTCAAAGGTAGGAATTTATTTATTATCTCCCCTTTATTATTTTTACAAATAATTCAAGGTGGTGAACATATATAATGCTCCTTCCTCCTCCTCCTCCTCCTCCTATTTTCCCCACAACGGTCCTGTGAGGTTTCATGTTGAAAGTGGGACTAGAACTCTGTCTCCTGGTTTCTAGACTGGGGCCATAACCACTAGACCAGGGGTGTCAAGCTCAATTTCATTGAGGGCTGCATCAGGGTTGCGTTTGACCTCGGTGGGCGGGCGGGCGTATGTGGGCAGGGTGGGCGTGGCCAGCTCGACGTCACTCGAGTCTGTTTTCGGCTGCAACGGCCTCCTGCAGCCCTCTGCCAGTGAAAATGGCGCTTGGGAGGGCCGTGCGCAGCCCCCCTGGGCTCCGTTTTCACTGGCAGAGGGCTGCAAAAGGCCATCACAGCCGAAAGAGCCTATGAGGGCTGTGCATGGCCCTCCCAAGCTCCATTTTTGCTGGCAGAGACACCATGGACCGGTCCTTCACTGTTTCCAGGGCTGGCCAGCGGGCCAGATCTAAGCACCCTACAGGCTGGATTCAGCCCGTGGGCTTTGAGTTTGATACCCTTGCACTAGACCAGGGGTAGGCAAATGTGGCTCTTTTACAACCTGTGGACTTCAACTCCCAGAATTCCTGAGCCAGCCAAGCTTGGCTGGCTCAGGAATTCTGGGAGTTGAAGTCCACAGGTTGTAAAAGAGCCACATTGCCCACTCCTGCACTAGACCAAACTGATTGAAATGACTTAAAGGACAATGAACTCTAGACTGATAGTAAAGAATGAAAAGAAATGCAATCTGCTCTGGTTAATTATTGCCCTGTTCCGTGATTGCTGATGACATTGCAAGATAGGCCAGGTTTGGGCCCCTAAGTTGCGACTGCAATTATTTGCTAAGTAAGACCATAGTTTAACTGCCTAGAGACACGTGCACTGTTAAATGTTGCTTAACAGGAAAGGGATGCCCATGGCATTTAATTCAGCCAATGGCGCACTGGCATTCTCTAACAGCATATCTACTCCTAATGTGTAACTTGAAATTTTGTTGTTGTTCCTGTTCCGATTTTGAGTTTTAGTTTTTCCTTATGATAGCAAAGGGGAGGAGACATTCCTCATTAGAAGTTCTGTAATGTCAAGCAGCTAATTTTTTTAAAGGAGGGACACAGATTAATTTGCCTAGTAAGCTACACTTTTAGCACACTCTGATTTTGTCTCATTTTCTATTGTATACCCACCCCATTACCAGGTTAATGAAAATGTTGGGGACCAATCTCACAAAATGACAACTGAACGCTGTGCTCGTTTAACCCTGGTTAGCATGGCTAATGATGTGAAGGAAGCCTGGATCAGTGACCATCCCTACTTGGCAGTATGTTACTTGTGGCAGTATGCGCCCACTTGGGCATGGTGGCTATTGAACCGCATGGGAAAGAAGCGGATAGAGAACTTCAAGAGTGGAGTGGTATGTTCTTCAAGTAGAACCTTTTTCCTATCCTGGTATCATTTAAACCTACTAAATTGACTGATCTGAGAAGGTAGCATGTTATGCAAAATGCCAAATTTGTATCTCCAGATTTAAAGTCTCCTTGCAAGAAATCAATATTTTGGCTCTATATATTCTTTAGGGGTGACTCCAGTTCTGTTTTTCAGCATGGACATCCATAGTTAAAAACTATGCACTTTAATTGCAGTTGGGTCTGCCACCTTGATTTTTAAATTCCATCTCTCTTTTGTTCATACTTGTATTTGTTCCTGCAATTCCAATATCTGCATGATATAATGTACCTGCCTGTTTGTTTTGGGCTGGACATTAATGGAGAGCCAAACACAAAGGTTCCTACTTTGAATATTAGGTACATAATCTGAAAGCTCATCATTTGTTTTTGTGTATGTTCCAGAACATGGCCTTTTGTTCCAGGTCCAGATCTTTGGCTTTCTCAGAGGCTGAAATGCAGATATAGGCAACTCCTATTGCTTGATGAATGCACTGGGCTTTGCCCAACATTCAGAGGACTGCATTTTAACAATGCTTGGGACTGGGATCCAGTTAATCTAATTTTTGGAATAGTTGAGGGTTTGTGGGGTAGAATTAGCCTCTTGTGTCCTTATGCAGTTTTCCCCTTAAATCTGCAAAATGCAAGAGAGGAAACACCACCTTTTTGGCTATCTATTATGGAACTGGAGATTTCCCGACTTCCCAGTAGTGGTGGGGTTTCACTTTTCTTTCCGCTGTGGATGAGAGACAGGAAAATATAATCAGGAGCTCTATTACAGGTCAGACTATCAGTCTTCCCATTATTTGTACTGAGTTCTTCCCAAGAACTAAAATGATTATTATGTTTGTTGCCCAACTCCCAGTGACTTTTTTTCCTTTCAGCTCTATTGGGAGGCATTTCAAAGTTTAAAGGAAAATATTACCACTTTCTGATATAAACAGAAGGTGAATGCTTTCTATAATACAACTGCAGAATCGAGGCAAACCAGATTCCCCAGGTTTTTTTTTTAGTTGCCTCAATGTATATTCTGGAAATTTCCAAAGCCAAGTCCATAGCTTATCATATCAAATAGGGCATTAAAACCAGATGTGATCCTTCCACCACAGGATTTTTAGCATGCTTTAATTCCTGACACAATTTTTTTTTAAATTAATGAAATGCTTCAGATTCAAGATTTCATTTTCAAATGTTAAAAAATATGTAGTCCTTGAAGATGTATTGGATTAGCTAAAATACACTAGTTTAGTATGGATTATACGTTATCACAGTTTTATATTGTTTTAAAGTAAATAGCTGAGTGGGAATTATATGTTAATGGAACTTATTTTTTGCTTTTTCTGACTTCTGCATATATGTTATATACATATGATTGAAGCATTCCAAGGGTCTTGCTTACTTTATTTGACTGGCCTTGCCTCAGTAACTTGTATTGTTTCTTACAGGATGCTGATGTTTCTTATTACAAAAAGTCTTCATAAGGAAAAGGAGCAGCTGAACATTCCTTCAAACATGAACCAGCATAAGGAAAAGCGAGGCACCTCTGCTTGAAAAGTTTATGGTTTTCTTTTGCAAACACTTGGGCAAAAAATGATGCAAAAATGTGCAACAAGACGGGTGTACCTATATAAAGCTTCTAGCTTTGCAGCATGAGATGGCTAAGAAAGTTCATTCACTTGTTGGCTTTTCAACATATATACCAAGATGATGATTCAAATCTGTCTTTCTCCCAACCCACCTCCTCAAATACCGGCTGGATTTATATAACACTAGCCTATAACAAGGTTTGGTTGACCTACTGCAGGAATGTGCAACTTTCATTGGCTTCAGATCCACACAAACTTTTCATAGTATGCCAGGAACTGTATTCCTAAAGTGAATTGGCCAGGATCCATTTTCAGGAGTTCCATGGATGCCTTAAGCCTCTGTAATGCTTTTTTAGCCAATTAAACCCCCCTCTTTCAAAATCCAAAAACAGCAACATTTTTGGCGCCAGTCAAGAGAAGGACTGGGGATGGAGAAATTAATGGCAAAGGGACACAAACAAGATCCAGCCACATTCTGGGTCACCCACCATGATGATTCTGCTCTCTTAGTAAATAGCTTTTTATAATAAGTGAGCTCAGCCATACTTTTAAAAATACCCACTTTAGTAAATTTCTCAAAAATGTGCTCCACTTCAATTTTTCATAAGATAGCTTCATAACTTGGGAGAATTAAAACTTCCATCTGCTATTTCCAACTCAACAATGAAGTACTAAAATGCCAGTGTTGATTCTTGGAGTTACACTGTATGCTTTACAGTTCTACCAACTGCAGATGAACAGAATGCTTTGTCACTGTGACAAGACCCTAAATAACGGATTTTATAGTACCTCTCCTGCAAGCAGTATAGCCTTATGATGGTAAATCTGCTTGGTCAGGCCCCTGGCAACCCCAAACATCATGGCTGATCTGTTAGATAGTATATTTGTTTCCCATTGTGACTTGGCTTTCTGCTTTTTTGTGTATCCTCACAACTTCTTCTGTTGACCTCTATTTTTTTCCTCATTAGTAAATAGGCAGGATTTGTTTGTAAGTAGGAACATGGTTACAAGTCTCTATGTTTGTGGTTGTCCAATGATGCTGGAAAATTCCATCTTATTAAACCAGGATATTTCTTTCCCCTAATATTCAATTTGTAATTCTTAATTACAAATTCTTCAAAATTGGACAGACATTAAATATTTTTCAAGTATCCCTTTCATAATACAAATGTTACAATTTTGCAAATGAAAAAAAAATAAACTTATGCTATAACAATAATAGATATAGACTCCATCTTATAGTAAAATACTTATCTATGGTTTAAGGTATATAAATTTATAACCCTGTGGAAGGTACTTGTCAATACAGTATTGGTAATGATTTGGGGGATTTTATATAAAAATGTATTCAATATACAACATTAAAATGCATAATTATCTTATTGCCTGCATTAAGTCTTCTCCCATTGTCATCTGATGCTGAAAGGCATGTCCTCAAAATCCCTCTCCAAAGAAGTGCCCCCATTCCACCCAATTTTCAGTGAAGGAATGAAGCGGCTTCATTCTGGGAACTACAAGAAAGTCAGATGAAGAGGTTCAGAGGAATAAACAGGATAGCCAAGGGGAGGATCTGCTGCTTGTATGGTCAAGTTCCTCAGGAGTACGGGGTGTGCTTGGATGCTATAGCGTTCCTCATCATCATTTGTGGCATATAGGAGCTCCCAAGAGAGGTTACCCCACTGTCCTCTGACAGCTTCGTCATTCAATTTTCCCACTTGTACTAGGAATTCCTGAAGCGTGAGTATCCTGCCAGTATAAACTCCCTGGAAAATAAAGATAAGTACAAAAAGTCACTTTGTCTTTGAACACCGCAGAGAAGTCAGATTTTATTTTTCTTTAGTAAGAAAAATCTGGGCCATAGATATTGTGAAATATCAAGATCAAGATATGGTTGGTCTAGATCAGGGGTGAAATCTAAAAAATTTTGCTACTGGTTCTGTGGGTGTAGCTTAATTAGTGGGCGGGGCTTGGTGGTAAGGTGACTGGGAGGGTGTGGCTTGTTGGTCAGGTGGGCGTGGCCAAGTCAATGTCACTTCTTTGCCCTTTTTTTAACCTACACAACACAACAGGCTCACCCACAATATAAAAGCAGCTGTGCTAGACCCAAAATGGCCCCTGCAACAAGCAGGAACCTCACACAGCCACAAAAAGCCCAAAAAAACTAACTTTCACACTTTACACACACAAAATTCCACATACAGCTTTGTGAGATTTTGTGTGTTTGTGTAGTTAAGAGTGAAACACTACAGAAACACACTAAATCTCAGAAAGCAAATACTATTTTATTTTAATTTATTTTTATTTTAATATAAAAGCAGCTAAATTTAAAACTTCCTAAACTTTAAATGGCTAGGTCTACAAAAAGAACAACTAAAAAAAACCCCAATTAACTATTTTTTTAAAGCTCCCAAAGGGGAAAAAAACTTACCCAATAGAACAGAGATCTCCAACCTTGGCAACTTTAAGACTTGTAGACTTCAACTCCCAGAATTCCTCAGCCAGCTTTGCTTTGCTGGCTGAGGAATTCTGGGAGTTGAAGTCCACAACTCCCTGCCTGCTTGATTGCAGGCAGGGAGATTCAGTTGCTTGCTGATGCAATGGATTGCAGGGATTACAGCAAGGCGTTGCGACCAGCAGCTAAGGTAAGCAAGCGGAGGGGGGGAGGGGGAGGGATTTTTGCTACCAATTAGCAGGCAACTCAGCTGGGATCATCAGAGCCATTTAAAAGAAAAAAAGGCTCTGATGATCGCGCGGCTAAGCTGGGCATGGGGGGCAGGGATTTTTGCTACCCGTTCTCCGAACCACCCGCCTCCATTGCTACCGGATCGGGTGATCCGGTCCAAACCGGCAGCATCTCACCCCTGCTTTGCTCTCAAATTATTGTTACATGGTTTTATTACAGAGATGATATGTTTGAGGCTCCAGGCCACACACAGAAATGGAGGCCCCTACAGGTCTCTAAAAATGGTTATCAAATTGTAATTTTAATTATAATAGAGGGGGTAATATTAAAGCATGGCTAGTGCGTGGTCATATTACACATAATTCATTTTATTACAGGTAGTCCTCCATTTACTACCATTTAATTGTTTGAAGTTACAATGATGCTGAAAAAAGTGATTTATGATCAGGCCTCACACTTACAACCATCACAGCATCTCTATGGTCATATAATTAAAATTCAAGACATTTGGCAACTGGCATGTATTTACAATGGCTGCAGCATCCTGAGGTTCCATGATGTCATTTGCAACCTTCCCAGGGACAAACAAAGTGAACTGTGATTTGCTTCACAACTTTGGTGGCAAAATGGTCATAAAATCGGGGGTGAATCATTAATGACTACTTTGCTTAGTGATGGAAATTCCAGTCTGAATTGTCTTCAAAGAACTACTTGTATGTCATGATCCCACTTTAAAAAATAAAATAAAAAAATGCATCCCTCCAAAATACAAAGTCCTCAGTCAAGAAAAAAATTGTGCATCTCTGTTTTAAAAGATCAAGTACAGGAATTAACTGAAAAATATTCATACAATGAAACTTTGAGCCCTAAAAAGACATCTAAAACATAACGTAATAGCTTTTCTGAAATCAAAACAAGTGGATATCAACTGCAAAGGCAAATTCTGAAGTTTGGAAGTGACACAAAAGTACAGCTTTTCTCTAACAGGATTCCACTGGAAGGAATGTCACAATCAGTTCTGGATATCTTAATTACAAGGTAAATTTTTAATGAAACACATCTTAAGCTGTTTTGTTAAGGAACTGATATTAATAAACAAATCCTTCATTGATATTTAGCTTTGCCATCTAAATCCATAATTAAAACATTAATTAATAAATTGTGCCACCCATCCCTGAAGGCTTCTTTGTGCTATACTAATACAAGGGCTAGGATCCCAACACCAGCTTGACAAACAATTACTTGACAAACAACAACAGAAAACATACGTAAGTATTGCCATTAAATTCAAGAATGGAATAAGTGGCATATTAGTGAAAAATCCACTTAAAAGTCAGGAAGCTCTTACCATATTTGGGTCATGCCCCAAAGAAAAAAGATACGGCGTTTCTTGTAAAACAGCTTGTGGCCATTCCTTTTCAGACACCAAACCAATGTACCAGTCATTTTCATATTCTTCAAGATAGTTTAGCAGCTCTTGAAAGTCTTCAACTGGACCCAGGCTTGCTTTATCAACCATAAGCTTCACTGTATATCTGATAAACACACAACACAAAGAAAAATATAATGAAAAAAAAAAAGAATAATTCTAGAGATATATCTGGAGAATAGCCTCTGTAACAATATATAAGTGGTTGGCAGACCTACAGTACTAGGTTTAGCTATCAACTTGATAATTTATCAATCCGACAGATAACATCTCTTATCATACCGGTATATGTTTTGAAGCATACATTGCAAGCGTTATGAAGACAGTCATACAGCCTCCAACCTATTACTCGGTTTATTCAAATCCAATTTCTCAATATTAAGATCATAACCTCCCAAGAATTCCTATTTTTAGTCTTATGATGATAAATGTTTGTCTTTATTTAGCCAGTAATTCCAAATGCTGATAATTTCAGACTAAGCTACAATCAGATTTGTTGATTTGCCTTTAGCAAACTGAAGGCATAGAGGTTTGTAAATTAGAACACATGGATTAGCATGATATGGAAGCTCACTCATTACAGTTTAGCTGACTGCCATAACTTAGTGCAATATGTGAATCAGATTGTTAACTTCCTTCTAATATGTTGACTTAGCTCTAGTTTTTCATTAAGCATTTATCAAACAGCACATATTCATCTGGTTGGGCATGGCATCTTATTTGCTAAACACATCAAAGCAAAATTTAAAATTGCTTTGAACCTGAATGATTTTCTAGCAATTTCACACCGAAAAGACATCTCAACAATTCCTCCCTCGTTGAACACTGGAACAAAGTGAATGTTGTCAGGAGGTATATATATATCTACCATTATTTCAAACCAAATGGTCTGGACAGCAATAGCCTGTGGAGTAGATGAGTAAAGCAGTCAATTGCCAAGTGATTCTTGCGCATAATTTAAAAGTTATATTTTATAATCTTTCACTGAATTTCACTGGGCAAACAATCCACATCTATGCATCTGCTGATGTTTATATATTGCACTTAGTGTCACATAACACAATGATCTGCCTCCTAGCTCTGAGTGTGCATAAGGAACGGCTGACTCCTATGCAACACATTTATTTTCTTGCCGCAAGAATATAAGAAAGCTTTGTCACTGAGAATTTCAAGGACACATTAGTGAGATTTTATTACAAAGCAATAGCTCTTCCGCTACAGTATTATAAAAATGGATCCCTTAGAATAGTTATTTTAAAAATTCACCAATACTATTTGTAGTATGTGATACTGCTCTCTCTCCTGTTCTGAAGTTTTTGAAGCCTTTGAGTTTACTTTTTTTGAGCAATACCATTTTCAGAATGCCCCTTTCTATTCTACCTGTAGGGCTTTTACAAAGAAGATATACCTGAAATACTACATCGTCCATTCCACAAGGCTTCTGTATTATAAAGTACATCCTTCAAAATCAAAATCTTGCCTGGGAGGCTTTATTAGCACAGAAATGCTATATATACATGGACACTTTTGGGGATGTGCCTTCTCATCTTTACCCCTTTGGCCCCTGACAAACTAACAGGGACAGCCAACTCATAGACCATGATTCAGAAACACCTCGCTCCCGGATCATATGTAGGATATACGTTTCTTCAGCTGGCATGATCTAGCTGGCCTTGCCTAAGTTTAGATGCTTACCAGGGATGAGAATGATCTTGATTAGCATGTGGATGGGGGACCTCAATATTCGTATTCAGAATATTAGTATACAGAATATTATTCGTATCTTAACTTTATTGTCACTTTAAATGTACACTAATCGGCATACATTAAAATGAAATTTCGTTGCATACAGCTCTCAAAGGGTCACCACCTCCAATATACATTACATAAACATGACAAAATAAAAAAATAAAAAAATTATGCATATACTCACATACCCACATATATTATGTGACAAACAGAAACAACACAGTCTAGTTCGGATGCATACACGTACATGGTGAAAAAATTAATTACCTGAATGTTTTTAGTGTTAATTGATATAACTCTTGTTTTCCTATTAACCAGTCCAAACAGACTGACCATGGAAGGCTTCCATTGTAGGCTCTGAAAATATGACCAGGAGAAACAATAGTATCATCTAATCCAAACATTGCAATGTAACAGGATAAGGCACTCTGGACATACAAATCCTTCAAAGCAGTGTCTTTAAAAAGATCTTTGAGTAAATTCGAAGGATTTTCTTTCAAATGAATTAGGTCTAGCTGGCC